GGAATTTCCCGGGAATTCCTGGAATTCCCACCTTGACCACGTGGGGCTGGGGGTCCTGCAGGTGCAGCAGGAGCGTCACGAGCCCGTTCAGGATCTGCTCCGAGAAAACCTCGGAGTCGGAGCGGCCGAAGCGGGAAAGATTCCCGAAAAGGACGATGGAGGAGCGACGCAGGGCGGGGTCTTCCTGGGGGAAATTTAAAAAAAAATTTGGGAAAAACGGGAATCATGGGGAGGAAAATCCCATGGATGGCATCCCTGGATCCCGAAATCCCATCCTGAGATCCCGAAATCCCATCCCGGGATCCCAAAATCCCATCCCGAGATCCCGAAATCCCATCCTGGGATCACAAAATTCCATCCTGACATCCCAAAAATCCCATCCTGAGATCCCAAAATCCCATCCTGAGACCCCGAAATCCCAACTGGGAATCCCAAAATCCCATCCTGGGATCCTGAAATCCCACTCTGAGATCCCAAAATCCCAACTGGGATCCTGAAATTCCCATCCTGGGATCCTGAAATTCCCATCCTGGGATTCTAAAAATCCCAACTGGGAATCCCAAAATCCCATCCTAGGATCCTGAAATCCCACCCTGAGATCCCAAAATCCCATCCTGAGATCCTGAAATCCCATCCTGAGATCCAGAAATCCCATCCTGTTATCCCCCAATCCCATCCTATTATCCCCAAATCCCATCCTGAGATCCCAAAATCCCATCCTGGGATCCTGAAATTCCCACCCTGGGATTCCAAAAATCCCGTCCTGAGATCCCAAAATCCCATCCTGGGATCCTGAAATTCCCACCCTGGGATTCCAAAAATCCCATCTGAGATCCCAAAATCCCATCCTAGGATCACAAAACCCTTCCAGTGATGCCAAAATTCCATCCCGGCATCCCAAAATCCCAACGGACCAATCCCAATGGGATGATCCCAACGGGACAATTCCAGTGGGATAATTTTGATTTGGACAATTCCAGTGGGTCAATCGATTTTGGAAAATCCTGATGGGCCAATCCTGGCAGGACAATCCCAACTGGACAATTCCAATGGGAGAATCCCAATGGGAAAATCCCAAAGGGAAAATCCCAATGGACCAGACCCAATGGGAAAATTCCAACGGGAAAATCTCAATAGGACAATTCCAATGGGATGATGCCAATGGGACAATCCCAATGGGACAATCCCAATGGCAGAATTCCAATGGAAAAATTCTGATGGGAAAATCTCAACGTGACAATCCCAATGAGCCAATCCCAACAGGAAAATCCCAATGGGACAATCCCAATGGCAGAATTCCAATGGAAAAATTCTGATGGGAAAATCTCAATGGGAAAATCCCAACGGACCAACCCTAATGGGATAATCCCAATGGGATGATCCCCATGGGACAATTCCAATGGGACAATTCCAATGGGATGATCCCAGTGGGAGAATTCCAATGGGAAAATCCCAATGGGAAAATCCCAATGGGAAAATCCCAATTGACCAATCCCAATGGGATGATCCCAATGGGAAAATTCCAATGAGCCAATCCCAATAGGGAAACCCAATGGGAAAATCCCAGTGGACCAAACCCAATGAGCCATCCCAATGGGACAATCCCAATGGGAAAATTCCAATGGGAAAATCTCAACGTGGTAATTCCAATGAGCCAATCCCAATGAGCCAATCCCAATGGGATGATCCCAATGGAACAATCCCAACTGACCAATCCCAATGGGATAATTCCAATGGGATTATCCCAAAGGGACAATCCCAATGGCAGAATCCCAATGGGACAATTCCAATGAGCCAATACCAATGGGACAATCCCACTGGGAAAATTCCAATGGAAAAATCTCAATGTGACAATTCCAATGATCCAATCCCAAAGGGACAATCCCAATGGCAGAATCCCAATGGGACAATCCCAATGGACCAATCCCAACGAGCCAATCCCAACAGGACAATCCCAACGGGACAATCCCAATGGGATGCTCCCAGTGGGACAATCCCAATGAAAAAAGAAAAAAACCCCACGGGACCAATCCTGGGCGAGGATCCAGGATTAGATGCCGAGCCCGAGGGGAGGATTTCGGGATGGGACGTTCCCGACTCCGCGGGGGATTCCGGGAATTGTCTCACGCTGTCGAAGAAGGGCCGGATGCGGATGGCGACGCGGAGCAGCGCGGCGTGCACGTCCCGCTCCTCCAGGTGATCCAGGATCCTGGAGAGGCTGGACATGGCCTCCAGGGCCAGCAGATTGTTGGGATCGTCCTTGTCGTCCATGGCGCTCACCATGGAGGCCACGAGCTGCGAGCCGTGACGCCGGATCTGCCGGGAAACAAAACCGGGAAAAAAAAAACGGGAAAAAAACGGGATATGGGAGGGGAAACGGAAGTGGGAATGGGAGAATTGGAATTCTGGGAGATCTGGGATTGATGGGAATGGGGAAAAGGAAAGTGGAAATGGGAGAACTGGAATTCTGGGAGATCTGGGGATGATGGGAATGGGGAAAAGGAAAGTGGAAATGGGAGAATTGGAATTCTGGGAGATCCGGGAATGATGGGAATGGGAAGAATGGGGATTCTGGGAAATCTGGGAATTACGGGAATGGGAGAAATGGGAATTGAAAGTGGGAATGGGAAACCTGGAATTCTGGGAAATCTGGGAATGATGGGAATGGGAAAAATGGGAATTGGAAGTGGGAATGGGAAAAGTGGAATTCAAGGAAATCTGGGAATGATGGGAATGAGTAGAACGGGGATTCTGGGAAATCTGGGAATGACGGGAATGGGGAAAAGGAAATTGGAAATGGGAGAATTGGAATTCAGGGAGATCTGGGAATGATGGGAACGAGAAGAATGGGAATTCTGGGAGATCTGGGAATTAGGGGAATGGGGAAAAGGAAATTGGAAATGGGAAAATTGAAATTCAGGGAGATCTGGGAATGATGGGAATGAGAAGAATGGGAATAATGGGAAATCTGGGAATGATGGGAATGGGGAAAAGGAAATTGGAAATGGGAATGGGAGAATTGGAATTCAAGGAAATCTGGGAATTCTGGGAATGAGAAGAATGGGAATTCAGGGAAATCTGGGAATGGGAAAAGGACTGGGGATGGGAATGGGAAAAATGGGAATGGGAAAAGGAAAGGGAAATTTGGAATGGGATTGGGAATGGGAATGATGGGAATTCTAGGAATGGGAATGGGAAAAACGTGAATGGGGAAAATGGGAATGGAATGAGAACAGGAATAGGAATTGGAAATCGGAAATGGGATTGGGAAAAACGGGAATTCTGGGAATTTTGGGAAGGAGGGAATTCCTGGCAGCAGAGGAGGGAGCTGGGAGTGGGGGGCTCATCCCAGGGAAAACCGGGATTGAAGGGATCCAGGGGGGGGAATTTGGGATCAGGGACAGGAGCAGAAGGAACAGCCTGGGGACAGGATTTTTGGGAATATTCCCCTGGAACTGATGGAATTCTGGGATGTGGGGTCTCAGGAAGCAGGGACTGAGGTTGAGAATTCCCGGGAGAAGCTGGGAAAAAGGGGCCAATCCCAGCTGGAATTCCAGCAGCTCTGGAAATCCCTGGAAAACGGGGCTGGGAGAATCCCCCTGCTGGGAAAGGCTCCGGAATTCCCGGGAATGTCTCCGGAGAATTTCCCGGGAATTTTTTTAGGATCCGTGGCCTCCAGGTGCTCCCTTGCCCATCCCACCAAACCTCATCCCGGTGTTTTTGGGGGAATCCCAGACCCTTCCCTTGTGGAAGCAGGAACCCATTCCCGGTGCCCCGCCCTTCCCGTTTCCCGCCAAATCCCAAATCCCGGGAGCCGCTCCCACCTTTTCCGGGGATCCCGAGGCCACATTGCCGAGCCCCCGGAGCGCCAGCACCCGCACCAGGAGGCAGGAATCCTTTTCCAGAGCCGTCAGAGCATCCAGGAGCGGCTCCAGCAGCATCAGGTCGTTCACCACCTTGTGGTTGAGGAGCTGGAAAAGGGGAAAAAAAACCTCGGGATAGGCCGGGAAAAAACTCGGGATAGGCCGGGAAAAACTCAGGATAGGCCGGGAAAAACCTTGGGATATGCCTGGAAAAACCTTGGAATAGTCCAGGAAAAAACTTGGGATACGCCACGAAAAACGTCAGGATAGGCTGGGAAAAACCTCGGGGTAGGCTGGGAAAAAATTCCAGAAACACCTCGGGATAGGCCTGGAAAAACCTCGGGATAGGTCTGAAAAAATCTCAGGATAGGCCAGGAAAGAACTTGGGATAGACCAGGAAAAACCTTGGAATATGCTAGGAAAAACCTTGGGATAGGCCAGGAAAAAGCTCGGGATACGCTGGGAAAAACTTGGGAAACACCGGGAAAAACCTTGGGATAGGCCAGGAAAAAACTGGGGATAGGCTGGGAAAAACCTCAGGATAGGCCAGAATAAACCTTGGGATAGGCCACGGAAAACCTTGGGATAGGCCTGGAAAAAACTTGGGATAGGTCTGGAAAAACCTCGGGATAGGCCAGGAAAAATCTCGGGATCGATGAAGGAGGATATGGAATTCCTGGGAAGAGCCATTCTGGGATAATCCAGGGAAAAGTCAGCCCTGGGTGGGATTTGGGGGGAGTGGGAATGGTGATGCAGGAAAAATTTGGGAATTTTTGGGTAGATTGGGGTCTGGAGAGGAGCTCTGGGCCTGGAATTTCTCCTCATCCCAAGGATCCGCCGGAATTCTCGTTCCCTTCCCCTCGGCTCCGGGGGGAATTTGAAACCCTTTGAGATGCAAACATTCCCTGGATTTGGGGATGGGCTCCAGGAGCAGCTGGGAATTTGGGATGGGGGATGGATCCATGGATCAATGGATGGAGGGATCAATGGATGGATCAATGGATGGATGGATGGACAGATCCATGGATGGACAGACAGACCCCTGGATCCATGGATGGATGGATGGACAGACAGACCCCCAGATCCACGGACGGATGGACAGACAGACAGAGCCCTGGATCCATGGATGGATGGACGGATGGACAGACAGACAGACAGACCCCCAGATGCATGGATGGACGAATGGATGGACAGATCCATGGATTGATGGATGGATGGATGGATGGATGGATGGATGGATGGACAGACAGACCCCCAGATCCATGGATGGATGGATGGATCCATGGATGGACAGACAGACCGACCCCCGGATCCATGGATGGATGGATGGATGGATGGACAGACAGACAGACCCCTGGATCCATGGATGGATGGATGGATCCATGGATGGACAGACAGACAGACCCCGGATCCATGGATGGATGGATGGATGGATGGACGGACAGACAGACCCCCGGATCCATGGATGGATGGATGGATGGACAGACAGACCCCTGGATCCATGGATGGATGGATGGATGGATGGATGGACAGACAGACCCCTGGATCCATGGATGGATGGATGGATCCATGGATTGAAGGATGGACAGATCCACGGGTGGATGGATGGATCTATGGATCCATGGATGGATAGATGGATCCATGGACAGACAGACCCCGGGGTCCATGGACGGATGGACAGACAGACAGACCCCCGGATCCATGGATGGATGGATGGATGGATGGACAGACAGACCCCGGGATCCATGGATGGATGGACAGACAGACAGACCCCGGGATCCATGGATGGACGGACGGACAGACAGACCCCCGGATCCATGGATGGATGGATGGATGGACGGACAGACAGACCCCCGGGTCCATGGACGGATGGATGGATGGACGGACAGACAGACCCCCGGATCCATGGATGGATGGATGGATGGACGGACAGACAGACCCCCGGATCCATGGATGGATGGATGGATCCATGGACAGACAGACAGACCCCCAGATCCATGGATGGATGGATGGATGGACGGACAGACAGACCCCTGGATCCATGGATGGATGGATGGATGGACGGACAGACAGACAGACCCCCGGATCCATGGATGGATGGATGGATGGACAGACAGACAGACCCCGGGATCCATGGATGGATGGATGGATGGATGGACAGACAGACAGACCCCTGGATCCATGGATGGATGGATGGATGGACGGACGGACGGACAGACAGACAGACCCCAGATCCATGGATGGATGGATGGATCCATGGACGGATGGACGGACAGACAGACAGACCCCGGATCCATGGATGGATGGATGGATGAATGGATGGATGGACGGATGGGCAGACAGACAGACCCCCGGATCCATGGATGGATGGATGGATCCATGGATGGATGGATGGATGGACAGACAGACCCCGGATCCATGGATGGATGGATGGATCCATGGATGGATGGATGGATGGACAGACAGACCCCCGGATCCATGGATGGATGGATGGATGGATGGACAGACAGACAGACCCCCAGATCCATGGATGGATGGATGGATGGATGGATGGACAGACAGACAGACCCCCAGATCCATGGATGGATGGATGGATGGATGGATGGATGAATGGACAGACAGACCCCCAGATCCATGGATCCATGGACGGACAGACAGACCGCGGCTCCACGGGCCGGTCCCGTGGGGCCGTTCCCGGTGTCGCGGCTCACCTCGGCCAGGAAGGCGGCGCTGGTCACCCTGTGGCACTCGAAGGCGCTGCCCAGCTCCGGGATGAGGCTCCGGACGATCGGCGGCAGCCGCGGCCCACAGAGCCGAGCCATGGCCCTGTGTGGGAACAGCGCTCGGAATGCTGGGAATGCCGGGAATGCCGGGAATCCTGGGAATCCCAGAAACCCGGGAATCCCAGAAACCCGGGAATCCTGGAAGTCCTGCGAATCCCAGAAGTCCTGGAAATCCCCGAAATCCTGGAAATCCCAGGAATCCCAGCAATCACAGAAATCCTGGAAATCCCAGGAATCCCAGAAATTACAGAAATCCTGGAAATCCCAGAAATCCTGGGAATCCTGGGAATCCCGGGAATCCTGGAAATCCCAGGAATCCCAGAAATTACAGAAATCCCAGAAATCCTGGGAATCCCAGAAATCCCAGAAATCCTGGAAGTCCTGCGAATCCCAGAAGTCCTGGAAATCCCAGGAATCCCAGAAATCCTGGAAATCCTGGAAATCCTGCGAATCCCAGGAACCCCAGAAATTACAGAAATCCCGGGAATCCCAGAAATCCTGGGAATCCTGGGAATCCCGGGAATCCTGGAAATCCCAGGAATCCCCGAAATTACAGAAATCCTGGAAATCCTGGGGATCCCAGAAATCCTGGAAATCCTGGGAATCCCAGGAATCCCAGAAATTACAGAAATCCTGGAAATCCCAGAAATCCTGGGAATCCCGGGAATCCTGGAAATCCCAGAAATCACAGAAATCCCAGGAATCCCGGAAATCCCAGGAATCCCGGAAATCCCAGAAATCCCGGAAATCCCGGAAATTCTGGGAATCCCAGGAACCCCAGAAATTACAGAAATCCCGGAAATCCCAGAAATCCTGGGAATCCTGGAAATCCCAGAAATCCCGGAAATCCCAAAAATCCTGGAAATGCTGGAAGTCCTGCGAATCCCAGAAGTACTGGAAATCCTGGGAATACTGGGAATCCTGGGAATCCTGGAAATCCCAGGAATACCAGAAATCCCAGAAATCACAGAAATCCTGGAAATCCCAGGAATCCCAGAAATTACAGAAATCCCGGAAATCCCAGAAATCCTGGGAATCCTGGGAATCCCGTAAGTCCTGGAAATCCTGGGAATCCTGGGAATCCCAGAAATCCCAGAAATCCTGGGAATCCCAGAAATCCCAGAATCCCAGAAATCCCAAAAATCCCTGTCCCCAGGCAGGACAACACACAATATGGAAAACCAGGATTGACCCACAGAGAAGGATCTGGAACATCCCGGACACCCCATCCAGGTTTTCTTTGGGATGAATCACTCTGGAATTTTTGGGAGGTTCCCCCAAAAACTGGAAAATCCCAATCCCAACCCAGATAATCCTGGATGGGGCCCTGTCACCCCCTGGCAATGGGAATTTCCCGGGAATGATGGGATGGGATGCACTGGGATATTCCAGGAATCCTTCAGGGACTTCTGGGATCCCATGGAAGTGGGGAATGATGGGAAACATGGGATGGGTGGGAAATGGTGGGATGGGAGATAATGGGAATTCCACAGCGGGATTGGGGACGTTGGGAATTCCAAATTGGGATTGGAGATATTGGGAATTCCATACTGGGATTGGAGACTCTGGGAATTCCACAGTGGGACTGGGGACGTTGGGAATTCCAAACTGGGATTGGAGACTCTGGGAATTCCACAGCAGGATCTGGGACAATGGGAATTCCATATTGGGATCAATGACACTGGAATTCTGCAGTGGGATCAGAGACACTGGGAATTGCAAACTGGGATTGGAGACACTGGGAATTCCAAACTGGGATCACAGACACTGGGAATTCCATTTTGGGATCAATGGAACTGGGAATTCCATACTGGGATCAACAACTCTGGGAATTCCAAACTGGGATCAATGGCTCTGGGAATTCCAGAGTGGGATCAGTGGCACTGGGAATTCCAAACTGGGATTGAAGACACTGGGAATTTCCAGAGGGGTTTGGAGACATTGGGAATTCTGCACTGGGATCAATGGCAATGGGAATTCTGCAGTGGGATTGGAGACACTGGGAATTCCAAACTGGGAATGGACACACTGGGAATTCCACACTGGGATTGATGGTGCTAAGAATTTCTAACTGGGACTGGAATTGGGAATTCTGTGCTGGGATCAATGGCTCTGGGAATTCCAAACTGGGATTTGAGACACTGGGAGTTCCACAGGGGGGTTGGAGACATTGGAAATCCCACACTGGGATTGATGGCACTGGGAATTCCAAACTGGGAATGGAGACATTGGGAATTCCACAGTGGGATCACAGACACTGGGAATTCCATACTGGGATTAATGGCACTGGGAATTCCAAACTGGGATCAACAACTCTGGGAATTCCACAGCGGGATTGGAGACTCTGGGAATTCCATACTGGGATTGGAGTCTCTGGGAATTCCACAGTGGGATTGGAGACTCTGGGAATGCCACAGTGGGATCATTGGCGCTGGGAATTCCATTTTGGGATCGATGGCACCAGAATTCCAAGCGGGACCAATTCCACCTACATCTGCATCCACCCCCAAATGATCCCACCCCACCCC